TTTTTTTTTTTTTTTTTTTTTTTTTTTTGGTAAGGGGTTTTGCAGTTTCAGTTCTTATGTTAAAGTCAAGTTTTCGATGTTGTCTTTGTGTTAATGCAGCCAGGAGTTTGGCTGTAACAGAAGTTTGCTGTTGCCACAATCACTGATATTCAGAATTTCCTGCTGCAATGGGCAGCACAGTTTTCAAATTTTTCCAGTGACCTTGTTTTTATCTGACCTCTGATTTCTGGGTCTTTCTGTTTGTGCTGACCCTCAAAGAGAGTCTCCTGCAGCTCGTCCAGCTAACACCCACTGTTGTTATTAATATACAACAGTGTATATTGCTATTAAAAAGGCTTAGTAATTGGTCATAGGTTTAGGGAATGGGGGAGAAATCTTCTTTAATGTCTAATTCAGGCTCACTCTTTATTTCATTTTTTTATTTTTTTGAGACAGAGCCTCAAGTTGTCACCCTGGGTAGAGTGCCGTGGCATCACAGCTCACAGCAACCTCCAACTCCTGGGCTCAAACAATTCTCCTGCCACCACCTCCCAAGTAGCTGGGATTACAGGCACCTACCAAAATGCCTGGCTATTTTTTGGTTGCAGCCATCATTGTTGTTTGATGGGCCCAGGGTGGATTCGAACTCACCAGCTCAGGTGTATGAGGCTGACGCCTTAGCCACCTGAGCCACAGGCGCCAAGCCCAGTCTCACTCTTTAGAGCATACAATGAACCTGTGACTCAGAAGTGTGTCCTTAACACATGTCTCTACTACTTATCTAGGAACACTGACTTTATCCAGGAATAGTGCCAAGTATTTTCTACGAATAATCCCATGTAATAATCCCCTTTTATAATTGCATGGTAGATGGAAAACAGGTTTGCAGACTAGTGATAGAGTTCCCTACCAATAGGCACATAACAAGAACTACTGGAGCTAGAACTAGAATCCAAGTCTGTCTGTGGGCAAAGTCGACATTCTTAACCTTACACATGTATTAGGAGAGAAGTAGTGATGGGGCAGGAGAAATACAGAAAAGGAGGAGACATGAAACAGATGGAGAGTGGGTAAGAGAAAGAGAGAAGGAATAGGAATAAATAGAGTTGAGGTGACACTTTGAGAAAGGAGAAAGGAAAGGAAAGAAATGGGATAGATACAGTAAAAGATGGAAACAGAAGAGCAGGGAAATGAAGGGATGAGGGAAAAGGAGATAGGAGAGAAGAAGGAAGAGAGGAAGAAGGGAAGAGGAATGAAGAATGATCCTCAAAATGATAAAAAACATTATTCTTTTTTACTTTTCTGAGACAGAGTCTCACTGTGTTGCCCCAGACTGGAGTGCAATGAATGGTGTCAGGCCAGCTCACAGCAATCTCAGTCTCCTGAGTTCAATGGATCCTTCTGCCTTGGCCTCCCCAGCAGCTGGGACTACAGGCACGCACCATAATGCCCAGCTAGATTTTCTATTTTTATTAGAGACACAGTTTTGTGCTTGATCTCGGACACAGTCTGGTTCTTGAACTCCTTACTAAAACGACCCTCCTACCTTGATATTCCAGAGTGCTAGGATTACAGGCATGAGCCATCATGCCCTGCCAAAATGAAAAAAAATCATTCTTACAATAGGTAGTTTCACAAGTAAAATTATATAATTCATTAATGTAGAAACTAAGTGTAAGAAAACCTGGTTCTAAAGACAAATGGAACACTGGCATTTTAAACACTGGCTCATCAAACAACAATGATGGCTGCAACCAAAAAATAGCCAGGCATTTTGGTAGGTGCCTGTAATCCCAGCTACTTGGGAGGTGGAGGCAGGAGAATTGTTTGAGCCCAGGAGTTGGAGATTGCTGTGAGCTGTGATGCCACGGCACTCTACCCAGGGCGACAACTTGAGGCTCTGTCTCAAAAAAATAAAAAAATGAAATAAAGAGTGAGCCTGAATTAGACATTAAAGAAGATTTCTCCACCATTCCCTAAACACTGGCATTTCATCCATACTGATGAAACACAAAACTGGTTAATGTTTAATTTTATTGCCTTATTGTTTAAATTGCAGGGGTTATTTTCTTGATCTAACAGAACACAAAGTCATCATGACTTATCAGTTTTATGTAAGTGTCAAAAATCAAGTTTACAGAATAATCAATTGCCCAAACAGGAGAGACATTCCATTTTAGAATGAGATTACCCTTAAATGGGCCTGTCAGGAAATAGGCTTACACTCTTTAAAGCACACAATGACTTTTTAGAAATTCCATGAAAAGACTTTCTTTTGAGACAGGGTCTCACTTTGTCACCCTTAGTAGAGTGCCATGGCATCATAGCTCACAGCAACCTCAAATTCTGGGGCTCAAGAAATCCTCTTGACTCAGCCTCCTGAGTAGCTAAGACTACAACTACCCGCCA